GATGGCACCTAACCCAAGGTAAGCCAACTAATAACTATCCAATTTCAATATTGCTAATAAGTCAATTAAACAAAATAAGTTATCTGGATCTATTATATTTCCCAAGAACTGGTAGTACAAATCATGAGCTTCTAAGAATAGAGTTTACAAAGTTGATATGAAGAAAATACATCTTCTGTTTGAAAAGTACATAAACAGAATTTTATAATCTAAGGCTACGGTGAACAAGAGGCAGCTACAGCAGGAACGCAGGTACGCCTTCAAATCCAGCAACGATCGAACGCATCAGCAACGGCATTCAGAATCTGCACGCAATGTGTAGGAAGTGTAGTATAAGTACAACCGACTCCATGTTCAGCTTTTGCACAGTTTTCCAAAAATAGTTCCGTTTTTCAAGAATATCAGTGAAAAGCCAAATCCTTTATCGAAATCATCGAAAAATTATGAGATAGTTTGAAACCAGAAATTTTCCTAAAAAATTATTTCCCCAATAAATAAAAATGTTTCATTTCCTTTCCAAATAACAAGTGTGAAATACCACTCTATGCCCGCATATCAATGTGTGTAAAAAGTCATGAATAATGTGATACCGTACAGTATGAGGAAAATGTGTCTCTATGCATGTGTGTCATATATGCATGCCAATGCCATGTATCTCATAGATGAATCATGAACTCACACTCTCAGAGTACTCAACCTCAATGTATCACATTTTCCACTCATCATACTCAACCACTCGGTACTGTATATGGCTCATACGGCCCAGGGGAATCCATCCCAAAACATATACAACACTGACTAGAAGTCACTCAGTACCGAGGGAAAAAAGGGCAATCCAACCATGTGGAGAAATCCATCTCCAAGTATCAAGTACTTTGGACAAATCCATGTCCAGTGAAATCCATCCCTCAATAATATATAAATTCTCAACCACTCGGTACTGTATATGGCCCATGCGGTCCAGGGAAATCCATCCCGCAATATGTACAACACTGACTATAAGTCACCCAATACCGAGGAAAAAGGGCAATCCAACCCTGCGGAGAAATCCATCTCCAGATATCAAATACTTCGAACAAATCCATGTCCAGGGTAATTCATCCCTCAATAGTATCATCCGCGCTCACTGGGGGTGTGTAGACTCCGGAGGGGCTCCTTTATCCCAAGCGCTATAACAAGCCAATCATGGCATAAATCAATAAAACATGCTGAGGCGTGCAGCCCGATCCCATAACTGTCACTCATAGTCAGGCTCTCAGCCTCACTCAAACATCAATCTCTCAGTCTCATCCACGGGCTCACAATGTCATGAAAACTGACCCAGATTAATGATATGATGTATCAATAAGTAACAAGTGACACTGAGATATGATATGAATGCATGAATGTGACTGAGTACGAAATATCAATGAAATCAATGAGATGACAGCAAGAAACGACCACTAGGGGTCCCAACAATATCAGCATAAGGCCTAAACATGATATCTAGCATGATGTACAGCTTAATTACTTTATCACATGGTGAAAAATACAAATATCAACAAAGTGGGCCACTAAGCAGTGCCTTGGAAACAACAGAGTCACAACTCGCAGGGTGCACGCCCACACGCCCGTCACCTAGCATGCGCGTCACCTCAACACCAATCACATAACATATAATTCGGGGTTTTCATACCCTCAGCACTAAGTTTAGAAGAGTTACTTATCTTAAACAAGCCAATTCCGACACCGAGCAAGCCAAGAGATGCCCCAAGAATGCCATCACGCTCGTAGCGACCTCCAAACGGCCCAACACTAGCCAAAAGCAACACAAATACATCAGATAAGGTCCAAGAAAGCAATTACAAATGATAAAGCTCGAATCCTAAGTCAAATCCCAAATCTGGCCAAAAATCACACCCGGGACGACGCCTCGAAACTCGACAAAACTCATAAAATTCGACAACCCATTCAATTACAAGTCAAGCCATACTAGTTTCACTCAAATTCGACTCCAAATCGGTGTTCAAAACTCAAAAATTTATATTATGAAACTTTAGGCCAAAACCCCCAATTTCCTCTTTAAGTTCATCAACCAATTGCCAAAAATGAAGATAGATTCATGAAAAATAATCAAAGCTGAGTGTAGAACACTTACCCCAATCCTTGTGATGAAAATTGCTCCAAAAATCGCCTCAATCCGAGTCCCACATCTCAAAATATGAAGAAATAACCAAAACCTCGATTTTATAGCTTCTGCCCAGCAATTTCCGCATTTGCGGTAAAAATGCCGCATCTGCGACCTCCGCTTCTGCGGATAAAGAACTCGCATTTGCGAGAAAACCGCTTCTGCGATGGCCAGGACCGCACCTGCGGTCGCGCTTCTGCGCAAATACCTCCGCTTCTACGGACCTCCACCCCTCAGCGAAAACTCGCATATGCCATGCTTGGCTCACATCTGCGGCCATCGCACCTGCGGAATGTCAGTCGCAGGTGCGGAAACACCAGAACCAGTAGCTCCTCAGCAATGAAAACATGAAGAACAATGAGCTGAACCTCGTCCGAAACTCACCCGAGCCCCTCGGGACCACATCCAAACATACCAACAAGTCTAATAACATCACACAGTCCTACTCGATGCCTAAAAACACACATAACAACATCGAAACGATGAATCACACCTCAATTCAAAATAAATGAACTTGAAACTTTAAACTTCCACAACCGATGTCGAAACCTATCAAATCACGTTCGATTGACCTCAAATTTTGCACACAAGTCACATTTGACATAACGGACCTGCTCCAACTTCCGGAAACGAAATCCGACCACGATATCAAAAGGGCCACTCCCGGTCAAACATTCCAAAATTCCAACTTTCGCCATTTCAACCATATTCCACTACGGACCTCCAAATCACGATCCGGATGCGCTTGTAAGTCCAAAATCACCCAACGGAGCTAACGGAACCATCAGAAATCCAATGCGAGGTAAATTTCTAAAAAGTCAAAATTGGTCAAACTTTTCAAATTTAAAGCTTCAAGCTGAGAATCATTCTTCCAAATCAATTCCGAATAACCTGAAAACTAAAACCGACGATTGACATAAGTCATAATACATCATACGGATCTACTCATGCCCCCAAACAACCGAGCGAAGTACAAATGCTCAAAACGACTGGTCGGGTCGTTACATCAATTAAGGACCATTTTGATCATTTTATCGTCCATTTGACATGTCTAACTGGGGCTAAAATTTTGTCCTTCAATCCAATTCTGATGTCATTGCTATGTATCAGGTAATATGGCTGCATTATGGAAAATAGGAATAATATCCGAGCAAGAAAAAAGGTAACCAAAATTATACTATTTGAGTTTATAATAATGTTGAAGTTCAGTTCTGTCTGCAGGATTTTAACCTACGGGGTTGAACTTTAATGCTGAGGGTAAAAGAAATAGTGAAGCAGGAACTACATGTTTCACCAAAAGAAGGTATGTTTTGTTTATGAAAATGATCCGAGAAATTTACCATAGATCTGAGTGCAGTTCTTGGAAGTAGAAGACAAAACTAGAGAATGCAAGAGCTACTCGCTCTGTGAGTTGTGTTGTGACAACATGAGCTACTGGCTACTGCAGTCTAGGTACTAGGCACCAAGAAAAAATTGCCCTATTGTTAATGGCTTTTAACACTGAAGTTACCTAGTTTTACTACAAACAGATTCTATTTTTGTTTCTTTCAAAAGGTGAATGTACAGCTAGCGTAGAAAGATTTCTGAATGAATCAGAGGTATCAGAACTTCCCCAACTGCCAAAATAAATTGATGTGAAATCATCTATATTGAAGATTGAATTTCGGGTTGAATAGTTGGAGTATTAAGCTTGGCAAAGAAGTTTCGAATCTTCACAGAAGTAATAGTACTAGTTAAATTTTTTCTCATCTGCTTGAAGCTCGATCACCACAGAATATGGGGGTAAAAAATTCAAAAGTTGATTCAGTTGTCACATGCATATGTTGCCCCACGAGTATGAGTTGTCAATTTAATACAGGATAGTAGTAGGAAAAAAACAAGGTTGAGTTGAAAATTAAGATATGATACATGTAGGAAACAATAATGGAAAAGGTGAACTTTTGGCGAGAGAATGATTGCATAGTAACACTAGTTCTTTAATTTCTTCAATAGATACATGACAGCCATTGGCAAAATAGAGATGTTCACTTTTTAAAACTTAAGTCTTTCAATAAATATAAACGACAAAATGCAACAGAGTCGTGGAAAATTTTGCAAAGAAGCCATGAATCCTGATCTAGGAGTTATATCCAGTACACCCAGCACTTATTTGTCCGTTGGCGGAGAAGAGCTTTGGAACTCCAGAACATACATGTCTGTAGTAATTAATTGCTTTTATTTGTTACTTCTTGGAATTTCATGTGGAATAAGAGCCAAATTTCTTGTGGATTTAGCAAAAGCTATAATTTTAAATGCACCTTCATGTTGGCTCCCAGACAAAGCCTTTGCTTTTTTCCTTCGGGAAAAGGCATAAATATCCCTCTTAACTTGTTTTGCATTTGCTTGTACTTTGCGAGAGTTCTATTGAACAAAAGCTAGAATTTTAAATTCCCTTCATGTTAGCTCTAGTCAATGGCTTTTTTTTTTTTCAAAAAAGACCTAAATATTCCTCTAGACTTATCTTGGATTTGCAGTTACAATACTTATTTTTTTGAGGGTAATAGAACTTTCGCAAAGTACTTACAAGTGGGTTATTGCAAATATGAGAAAAGTTTAGGGGTTAGTTTCATAAAAGTTTGGGGAGCCCTTTTATGTTTTTTTTTTTTTTTTCGTGAGTGATAATGATAGTGTATAGACCAAATTGCTCGGGTAAAAGTGATGGAACAGTTCTACATGCTAAAAGTAGTCTAAATATCCCCACTTTAATACTTCTTTCTGGCTTTCCTTTTGTTCTTTTTAAAGCTTTATGCATGGAGAATCATAATTCCCATTTCCAACAAAATAAAAAAATAAATTAAGCAACGACATTGAAAAGTTAACCATTCATCTATTTAATAAATAATTACATAAACGCATGTACATTTTAAATTGGACAATAGTTAGAAATTAGAGACCCTCATTGCATTTTCTTAAACTCTATAAATCAAAGACCTCGCAGGATCACTTCTTGTGACATTGAGATCAAAATCTCTTTGGAGAACATAAGCACGCCTACAAATAGAAAATCAACCAAAAATTAATAGAAAATTATCAATCACAAGAAAGTTTTCTTCCCTCAAAAGATCAAAATTATAAAGAAAACTATTAATAAAGCTGAGAAGGGAAAGAAGATTCATACAATGAAGCAACGCCTTCTTATTTGATGTCTTTTCAAGACTTTATTTAACTTAGCAGTCATTTCTCTGTGTGAAAGAATTTGGGCAGCTGGTGAGCTCAACAACACATGACTTCTTTGAATTGGAGGAGACCACAAACCACTCTTTGAATAATCAAAATCAAACTCTGATAAATCAGAAAACTTTGAGAGCAGCCTTTCTGATACTGACTTAGATACCAACTGAATTTTCAATGGAGAGGAAATCATTGCAGTTTCATCTTGCCATGAACATGGAGAAGAGGAAGATAATGAGATTTCAGACATATTGGTGTGCATTTCTTTTGTTTTCTTTAATTCAAAGTGAGAGGTACATAAAAAGGAGACAAGATTTTAGAGAAGAATATAAAAAGGAATGATGCATGATAAAGACGTGTATGGACATATATGCAATAATGGAGAGGGGAAAAGGAGAAAGTGGACGTGGGTTGTATCATTATAAATAGGAATTTTTACCTCCTATAGCAAATGTTAGCACCTTATTTATTTTAAATAAATATCATTTAAAAAAATTATATTCTACAGATACCTTTTAATGTTTATAGCAAAATATCTAATTTTGGTTACCTCCTACTCCTAAGCCACTAAATGCGCTATTCAGTTACACTATTTTCTTTCTCTCTCTACTTTGATACATGCCATTCTCTTCCCCCATTCCCTGAAAATTTGCGTGGTATACCTATATCGAAGACTTCTCTGACTTTCTCTTTGTCTTAATTGTGGCAACACCAGCATTCACATCCTTAGGCACAACATCACCTCTGAATTCTGACCATGACGGCATAATTGCGGGCAACATCGCCACTTCAGGAAGACCCATGCCTAGAATAATTTAGGCGTCTGCTGCCGCTGGAAGCTTAAAGAATCGGAGTTTTATTATGGCAATAATTTGGTGAATCCAAACATGGTTGCCGGGAAGCTAAGGGCTGACCACGGCAGTTGGATTGCTGTTCACCACTTTCGAGGCAAGCGAAACTTTCAGTTTTTTTTTTACTGTACAGGATGCGTGGGAACAATGAGATTCAGGGTTTATGCTCGACGGCGGATTCGCTGGAAGTTAGGGTTTGTTTTTGAACAAATACGACATAGTTTGGGGCTGAGCAACTTGATTTTCTGCTAATATATTTCAATGTTTTTTCAACGTATCACGCTGTATTTTCATGTATTCATTGTCTTTTTTTTCATTGTAATTCAATGTATCTCGTTGAATTCCATGTATTTCATTGTATTCACTGTCTTTTTTCTATTATATTTCAATGTATCCTGCTGTATTCTATGTATTTCATTGTATTCACTGTCTCGCTATATGCCATGAATGTATTTATATGTTATTTTAATTAATATAATTTATGTATTCAGATGTATTATATAATTTTTCTGAAGATTGCTATATTTTTTGGGGTATTTTTCGGTTGAGAATCTTTTGTATAACTGAAAATACAAATTTTGTGTGTTATAATTGAGTTTGTTGAGTTATATTAGGAGTCTATTATGTTAATTGATTCACTTTCCGTTTAAAAACGGTGTAATCCCCTGTTTCACGCCGTGAATACAGTCGAATACAATAATCTGTCCAGCTGTAATCCCATGTTTCATGCCATGAATACAGTCGAATACACTCAAATACAACAACTGATTAGCTGGACTTCCCTGATTCACGCCTATTTTTGCTACTGTATTCATGAATACAGTAGCTTAAATACACCTAATATAGCAAATGGTATACATCTTAATACACTTAATACATCTTATAACAACATAAAACGTATCTACAATCCGTAATATAACAAATGGTATTTATAGATAGCTAATTACCACTAAAAGATAGTGCTTTATGAAAATTTCTCACAAAAATATGTTGAGGCTCATATTTGGTGTTACAATATCAATATGGTATATGGGCGTTGGACTTTGGTGTTTGGTGTAGAATTTTTACCAAGAATTAAAAAAATATAGCACTCGAAGATGCTAAGAAAATTTTCTGTCTGTACATTAAAAAAAAGGAATTAACCTTATAAATACAATATAATTTTCTGATAAAAGGGTTGTCCTAAACAGGCATTTGCACATAAATTAGTTGACAATCAGATTGATAATAAATAGGGAACATAAGGAATAGGAACCAATATTTTGACATCCACACAAAATTAGTGTTTACCTAACTCACGTATGATCTAACGAGTACAATCGTTATCAGTCATTAGTCTATTTCTTTTGGTTAAGCTATAGATAAGTCATTATCAACACATGTATATGTGTACGTACACATCAAGTTATGACAAATTAATTCCTATGTGTTAGAATTTCTCAACTTTCGTGGTCATAAATGATCTTTCACCCATTTATAATAACATACCTACAATTCGTGCCAAGAAACATTTGGTCTTTTTCCTCTGTGCTATATCTATCATAATTTTCTATGCATATCAATAAAGCAACTCACATGGGAGTTAACAATATATTAAAGTGATTGTACATATATACAGACAATACACAATTATATCATTCTGGCAGATCCAAGACTTAGCTATTTTTCTAATCCACATTAAAAGCTGGCTCCTAATTGCCACCTTATTTCTTCGTGCAATTATATTGGAGTTTCATGTTGTTTGCTTTGGCGTAAAACAAACTAACCTCTATAAGAAGTCTGTAATATTAATCCACTCGCGTACGTTGTTGATTATTATTGTGCTCTCGTATATATATGTAATGCATAATAACTAAATAACTTATGCGGTAATCTTTATGATAATTTTGTTAAGATGATCCCACAGTATGTTTTGAACTGAAATGTTTAGAGACTGCTCTTAGTCTTCTTGTTCTTGCACCATATGATAGATTTACCTCCATACTTTAACCTCTTGAGTGAACTCTCTTGTTTTCAAACATTTCTTTTTTTTTTTTTTGAGTAATTTCTTTTCTCATTTTGCTCTTGGATTGAATTTAAGGATTCGTTTGTCCATTAAAAACGATTTTTTTTAAAAAAAATTGTTTGTCCATGGAATTTTGCAAGTTTTTGAAAAAATTTCGAAAATGAGTTTTTCAACAAATAAAAATTCCCTACTCACAAAAATGTAATATTTTTTTAAGCGAAAAACATGTCCAAACATAATTTTAAATTCCAATACCAATTTTTAACTTTTCAACATATTATTTTGTTAAAAAAATATAATTTTTATGTCCAAATACCTACGGAGAAGGTTGAAATTGTCACTAACTTTCTAACATGCGTTCATTTCTATACTTTTGGATATATACTGATCTGACATGTGAGAAATAGTTTCCCATGTTAGAAATTCTAATAAAAAAGGTAAATGTCATTAAATGCACGTTGTAACTTATGGAAAATTGTGTAGCAAAAAGCTTGCCTTAAAGCAGGACAAAATGAAAAGATATTTTGCAGTGACAAAATCATAATGTGAAACTCTTTGTACACTGTCAAAGATTGTGAGTCAGTGCTACTAGAGTATTAATTATGAAGGTACTATTGATGAGACAACAAATAAATGTGACTGAATATAGGTGCAATCACCCTGTTTCATCTAATCCCAACTTACGATTTCCTAAAGTCAATTGTGAGAAAATTAAAACACTTCTTTAAAGTACTTCTAAAACTCTGAAACCAAGATATTTTTTAATTTTTTAATGACTTGCGTGTAGTTTTAACCATCTAAATATTATTTCCAAGTGTCGATTTTATGCCTTATACTACTGCGAGCTCTGGTCAACTTTTTCATAACAAGAAAAAGGACAAACATTTTCTACATAGTTCCTTATTTTTTTTCATCTCTTAAAACTTAGTGGAAATCTTCTCCATTTTTTATTTCTTCAAAATACTGTCTAGGCATTAAATTCAGTAAACAAGATTCTTTCGTGTTCTTTTTCCCCTTCTTATTTGGTCCTCTATATTGGACTTTCGCGGAAGTCTCCCCAAGAAATAGCGTGGAAATATTTTTAGTTCACCGCTTATAATTGAGGAATTTTCAGAAACCACTATTATTTAGTTGTAATTGTTGAAAAAATAATAGATAATATTGACAAGGAACAAGATGGAAAGAAAATAACTTAACGAAAAATACTGTCTCGTGGCAAGCCACTGCCTTCAAAGTGATTTCGGCCCGACTGGGTGCAAATCGTTAAGACCGGTCGCTCCCCAAGCTTCCACAGCACCTCCAAACACGTGCACTCGTGGCTAGAAGTTTGGAATTTGCACAAAACAATTGAACAGAATTCAGTTGAAGTGGAAAAGAAGATGAAGGTGTTTTTCCGTGTTAGATTATTCACAAAGAAGACTGCCTTGTTAGTAAACTGTATTTGTAAACTAATTCTGGAAAAACAAAGCAGAATAATATATAAAGAGAAAACGTAAAGAGATAGAAATCAATTCGAGCCCACTGAATTCATAGTGTTTCCTTAAGGAATTTAATCCCCTCCTAGTACCCAAGGTTATGGATTATTTCCTCCCAGGATAGAACGAATTACACACTGGTGTAGTGGTACTTCAAACCCCAGTGTTTCAGCGAACACAAAGTTCGGTAGCAAATCACACTTATTGTTGCTTTGTTTGATGTTAAAAGTATGCAGAAGAAGGAGGAGAAACTCAGAAAATCATATGAAAATTCTGAGCATAATAGTCTTGTATTTATAGCCAAAGTTGGGCTGGAATCTGAAGAGATGCAACTCTTCAGAATGGCTGTTTATGCAAAACGGCCACAGCATAAATGCCATAACATAAATGGCTATTTACTCAACAATAAAGAGGGAAAATAAAGAGGAAAAATTGAAGAGGGTAGTTAATTTTCTGTTACCAAAACAGAAAAATGGATTGGATTTAATATTATATTTATTTTAATATTAATATTATGTTATTAAAACAATTATTTAATAATATTTATGTTAATATTTTACTATTAACAAATAAACTTGGTCCAAAAAATTAATCAATCAATCATTTGACCAAATCCAAATCCAAATCCAAATCCGAAGCCGAGCCGAGCGAGCAGCGACGACGACGACGCGAGGCTTGCCTTCTTCTCAACTCTTTAAGAGCTAGAAGAAGAGCAATTGCTTATATACCCATAAAAAACTTCTTCCTCTTCCAATATGGGACAATGTCCCTTTGCCAAGGGGGGAAAACTTAAAATTTCACTCAAAAATTTCATTTCCCTCCATTTCCCATTCACCCTCTTTTAAGTATTTAATATACTTAAATACATAAAACCCCAACAATCCCCCACATGAATAGGGAATGGCTATATCAGGAAAACATGCATGAAAAACTGTGTGATTCGCAAGCAAGGATTAATTGCATCTGGATAAGTAGGTTTCCGTTTGAACTTTTCGTAGTGAACTTATGTCGGATATACTCGATCAATCAGTAGATTTGATATCT